TAGCCTATCCTGAAAAAACTCGCACTTGGAACCTTTGGTCAGTAAGCGGTACTCGTCTAAAACCTTAAAATCTGCTTCCAGATCTGCTAAGTGCTGCTGCTTATCGCGGCTGTAGACTAGGATGTCATCGAGGTAGACTATCATGCATTTATCTAAGAGTGGTCTAAACGCCTCGTTCATGGTCATCTGAAATGTCGCCGGGGCGTTGGTCAGCCCGAATGGCATCACGGTGTACTCGAATGACCCGTACCTAGTCCTAAATGCCGTCTTGGCGCAGTCCGATGGTTCGACCCTAATCTGATGGTAACCTCCCCGTAAGTCAATTTTCGAAAAGACCCGTGCTGTTCGCAGTTGTTCTATCAGTTCGTCGGCGCGGGGAATGGGGTATCGCGACTTGACTGTTACCTTGTTCAGTGCTCTGTAGTCAATACACATGCGAAACCCTCCGTCTTTGTTCGGTGTGAACAGTATCGGTTCGGCGAACGGCGATGAACTCGGTCGAATGAACTTCTTCTCTAACAGGTAATCTAACTGCTTCCTCAGTTCATCGAGCTCGGGCTGTGTCAGTCGAAACTATCGCTGTACAGTTGGTTGTGCCCCCGGTTCTAATTCTATTCGGTGATCGTGTGCCCGCTGAGGTGGCAGTCCCTCTGGTAAATCGTCAGGAAAAATCCCCGGGTACCGTTTCAGTACTTCCTGTAGTGCGGGCGGTACGGCTGCTAGAAGTGTCTGAAAATCACTCGGTTGCTCTGCTTCTCCTACCAATGCTATGTCCACCGCGTACACGTCAGCTCCAGCGGCGACAGCCCGTTTCATCGTGATGGCATTGACGTGGACCGTTGAAGACTCGGGCGACTACCAGCGAGGTAGCTCGACCCAGTTACCGCTACTTCGCACAGTGCAGCTACCCGTCGCCCAGTCGATTCGCGGGTTGTACCGTCGCAGCCAGTCACGTCCCAGTAATATATCGTGCCCATCCAGTGTCGTCGCGAGCATTTCCTGTGTAAACCCGAAGTTTCCCCCGCAGCGGACTTTCACTCTCTCCACCTTTTCCCGTATGGCCAGCGGCGTGCCGTCAACTAAGCGCGCATCTATTTCTGGTAAACACTGACTAAGTGTCAGTTGCAGCTTCTGTGCGGTTGCGGTATTAACTAAGCTGTGACTTGCTCCTCCGTGTATAAAAATCTTCACTGCTGCTCCCTGTATTTTCCCGTGGACCAGTACCGGGCAATCCGTCGCTGTACCCTCCTTATTCATCCGAGCCCGATCGATAGCATGAATCGGTACTGTGACTCGGTGAGGGTCGGTGAGGTTGGGCGAGCAGGTCGTCTCGTCAGTAGTTGGCCCGATTTCTACTGACTGCTGGCGTTTCCCTGCCTCTGAGATTCCCTCCCCAGCTCTACTCCGCGGCGTCTCAGCTCCTCTAGGCATTCGCTCTTGCGATGGCCCGGCCTATTCCAGGAAAAGTAGCGCCCCTTAAATGGCGCGGCAGCTGCATTCGCTGCAACGGCATGTACAATGGCGTGCTCGGCCGGCCCCCGAGGACGTTGTCCGTAGTAGGACCCCGGTCTCGGTCGGCGTAGAATATCAATCTTCTCGGCGAGCGCAAGGATCTCGTTGAAGTTTGAGAGCCCGCGTAGCATGATTTCGTGTGAGATGTCTGGCTTCAACCCTCCGTCGTAACGGTCCACCCGCTCCGCTTCGTGCATGTAGCCGACTTGCTCACTTAATGCGAGAAAACCGCTCGTGTAGTCTTGGACCGACCCGAGTTGTCGCCAAGTACGCAGTCTCTGACGCACTGAAATAGAAGACGCAATCGGCTCGAAACGCGCCCGAATCCCTGTGCACCACGCATCCCACGTGCTGTACTGGGCGGTTTCGCAAAATGAACTCCAGGTGACGGCTGGACCCGTGGGCCCTTCCTCTTGCGACAGCGGCTCGTAGGCGCGTGGCGACGTCACGATAACTCACCACCAGTCCATGGCGGGGCCCCTCAGCAGCGAAACAGCGTAGCGGATCTTCGATGCATCCGACTCGACGTAATTCGCGTTGAAGAAAATGTTCATCGTGAAGACCCACGATTGAACCGTCGGACCTCCACGTTGGCTCGGATCGAAACAGGGCGGGCGCTGCGGCTTGAGTGGCATTGGTGCCATGAGGTCGTGGCTGCCACTTGTTGCTGCGAACTCCACGTGCCGACGAGCTTCGCGAGGCTCACGCGGGCTTGGTGCGGCCCTATTTCTCTCCATGCCAGGCATTGATTGAGCGGCGCCATCACTGGCTGCGCCTAAGCGCTGTCCCACGCTGTCGTGTTGCGTCGGTGTTCCTGAGGAGATGACAATCGGTTCTTCTGATTGCGCAGGTGCGTGTGGTGGTGCTGGAGCATTCGCCGTGGATTGCTGAAGAGCGGAGTCGTGTTCCGCCGTGAGAGTCGCAATTTCAAGCGCCGAATCTTCGACTTGGCGCACGAGACGGTCGAGTTTCTCCTGCGTCAGTGTCGCGAGGGTGAATTCGGCCATGGCGGGGGTGTCGGGCAAGCTCAGCGAGAGCCTCTGTCGTGGCCGTGCGTGCTTACCAGAGAGCACTACGAGCGGCGGTTCTGTTTTCGCTGAGAGACGTCTACCCCCTCCAAAAATTGAGATAGTGGGGAAGCGAAGGTGTGGGTGCGGTCCGAGAAGAGATCGTAGGCTCTGATACCAAGTGTTACGAATGCAATTGAACGAGCGAGTGAGAATTGCACTATCGAAGCAACCAATACATCGAGCGAAGGCATGAGCGAAGAATATATAGCGAAGCTAGCGTGGTAACGGTAATGTGAGAAATTGGGGTGCGCTACAGGCCTAGCGCTGAGGTTGGGAGATGTCGAGGCGGAGGTCCGGAGCGCGGGTTACCAACCGAACCGTGAGGTTGGGTCGTATCGTGAACAGTTGCGGGAGTCATGGTCGAGGCGAGTGTCGCGAGCGGGTAACGTTTCACGGATGGGTGCCGATGGCGGGAACGGGCAGGTACGCGGTAAGCAGGGACGCGAAGTAAGGAAAATGAAATTTCCTTACACCTGTCAATCACCAACGCACACTCTCTGGTGCTGTTCTCCAGGCATTCGATGCCGTCGGAAGAATGTGCAGAGAAGTTGCCAAAACGTTGACTTTTTGGGGGGCAGCCAAAAAAATAGTTTCATCTCTATCGATGCCGTCAGAATGGCATTTGCTGCAGAACATGCCTTTTAGCGACGGCATCAGAAGGGTTCGAAACCTCCCTGCGTTTTCCCGCTCAGGCAATTTTCGGTGCCTGTGCCACCCCGTGGCAAACCACCCGAGAGAGGTGGTTGGCCACGAGATGGCAGAGGCATCGGCTAGTTGGGAAAACCGCAATCTCACACTGTTGAAAAGAAAACAGCAACCAAAGGCGCCCTTGTAAAAAGAAACGTGCTAGACGACCAGGGTTTGTGGGGACCGGTTAGTTTTTCGTTTTCCGATCGCTTTTTACCCAACCCTGCCCCAGATTACTGCTAATATTTCTAAACAGCCCGTGACGAAACTGTTGCAACAGGGAGCGGAAGTCTAGCTTCTTGGGCCCCCGCTTTCCTCAGCCGAAATGCGAAATTTCCTAAACAGGGAAAGTGCTTCGAGCTGCAGGAGAAGTTTCTGGCGGCAGAAACTGATGCCACTGCCATGCCAATGCTACCTGCCTGGAGAACAGCGCCTCTAGCTCGCCACCTACCTGTGATCATCGCCGATAGGTGCACAGCACATCGATTACCACTAGGGAATTCATATCTGCTACCTCTGTAATTTTCGGATTTCAGGGTTCCTCAGTTTCACTGATCTAGCTGCTCCTTATTCGGTAGCAGGTGCGTCTGCGGGCAAACTGGCGAATTTCGCGGCGAAAAACTAGTCGGGTTACATGTTTTTAGGGTTACGCTATTTCAGCCCGCACCCCTTCATACATTCACACCGCGTCTCAGGGATAGAGGGTGACACCCCCCGCTATTGTCCCTGACGGGAGAGGGTGTCCGAAGCGGCACTTGGTCTTCAAACGAATATTTCTCTGTTTCAAGAGGGGCTTGAAAGGGTAGCGGCCTGCAACGGAAAGGGGATCTGAAACGAATGTTGCCACTGGTGTCTGATTTAAATGGTGCAAAGGAGGAGGAGGACTGAAACGGAAGGAGCCTGAAACGGGAAGGAGCCTGAAACGGGAAGGAGCCTGAAACGGGAAGGAGCCTGAAACGGGAAGGAGTCTGAAACGGGAAGGAGCCTGAAACGGGAAAGAGCCTGAAACGGGAAGGAGCCTGTTGGGAAGGAGCCTGAAACGGGAAGGAGCCTGAAACGGGAAGGAGCCTGAAACGGGAAGGAGCCTGAACATCGGACGTTTCTTCCTCCCCTCGACGTTTTTTTTCCTGCCTGGTAAGAACCCTGATCAGCTCAGGTAAGGTGCGTGATTTCCTCGCCCTCTCCTCCCCTCAACATTTTCCTGCCTGGTTAAGAACCCTGATCAGCTCAGGTAAGGTGCGTGATTTCCTTTCCCCATCCACGTTCCCCTTCAATCCATTTCCCTCGCCCTCTCCTCCCCTCAACATTTTTTTTGTCTGGGTAAGAATGCTGACCAGCTCGAGTAGGTTGTTTGATCTTCCCTTCCCGCCTCCACGTTCCCTTTCAATCCATTTCCTATCCCGTTTTGCACTTCCGCCCCTCACCCTCTCGCTGTTCAGAGAATGGAGGAGCACAAGACAGGGGATGAGAGGAAGGGGGGGATGAGAGGAAGGGGGGGATGAGAGGAAGGGGGGGATGAGAGGAAGGGGGGGATGAGAGGAAGGGGGGGATGAGAGGAAGGGGGGGATGAGAGGAAGGGGGGGATGAGAGGAGCTGGGTCGCACCAACGAGGCTTTAAGGGAGTTTGGGCGCAGGGCGAGGGACGCAGAGCATAGCAGAGCAGAGAAGAGCAGAGCAGATCAAGCAATCTCACGTCCCTCTCCCCTTCCGTCCCTCCTGTTGTTTTTTCAGTGGATGCAGGGGAGCAAGATAAGCATGGACGACAAGTCAGGGGAGGAGAGGAAGGCGGCTATGAGAGAGGAGCTGGGTCGAACCAACGAGGCTTTAAGGGAGTTTGGGCGGAGGGCGAGGGAAGCAGAGCAGCTGCTTCTGGCTGTGCTGGATGAACACAAGGGCTTTAAGTTGCTAGGAGAGGGGGGCAGAGCAGGGTCGAAGGGGGGGGCTGGTGAGGGGAAAGAGGGGTTGAGGGAGGGTGGGAGGGAGGAAAAGGGGGTGGCAGGGGGAAGCGGAGTAGAGGGGAAGAGGAAGCAGGAGGAGGCTGGGAAAGAAGAGAAGGTTGGGAAAGGAGCAAAGGAGAAGAGGAAGATAGTGAAACAAAAAGGGACTGGCTCCCGTTCTCCTTCTCCTTCTCGCTCTCGCTCTCGCTCGCGTTCACTTTCGCGCTCTCCTTCTCTCCAGCGACAAAAGAAACAGAAAGGGTCTGCCTCTCGTTCTCCTTCTGGTTCCCCTTCTCGCTCTCGCTCCCGCTCTCATTCTCGCTCTCCTTCTCTCCAGCGACAAAAGAAACAAAAAGGTTCTGCCTCTCGTTCTCCTTCTCGTTCCCGTTCTCACTCTCGTTCGCGCTCCCGTTCGCGCTCCCGTTCTCGCTCTCAGCAACGAAAGCAGCAGCAGCAGCAGCAGCAGCAAGACTCATTCAAACCTCTGGGTTGGGACGAAGTGGCACCTGTCTCCGTTCGCCAGCTCATCGCATTCGCGCATCGCATCAGCTACACGACCTTCGCGCCGCCCGAATACGCCCTAGGTGCACCTCTCCTCGCCGCCCTCCCCCCTGCGCCACAGGATGAGCAGCTTAGAATGTCTTTATTATACCACTGTACTGATGAGAAGGCCCTTGGGATTATCCGGAAGGAAAAGAAGAGGGAAAAGGAGAGTGGGAAGGCGAGGAGGAGTGGGGTTGGTGGGGTGGAAGGAGGGGAATCAGGGCCTATCAGCCCTCGGCCTGCACCCACTGCTGCTGCGGCTGGGAAGGCAGCAGGGAAAGCAGGGGAGGCTGATTTTGCTGCTGCTGCAGCAGCGGCAGCAGCAGCGGCGGCAGGAGCAGGAGGAGCAGGGAAAGGGGTGCCAGTGGGTCTGCCTCCCCCTCCCCCGGGGTGGAAACCGGGGGACCCGCTCCCTTCCTTTTCAGACCTTGCTGCTGCCGCTGCCACCGCCGCCGCTGTAGCAGGAAAAGCAGCAGCAGGAGGGGCAGCAGCAGGGGTACCCCCACCTATGCCTGCTGGGTGGAAACCAGGAGATCCCCTCCCCCTCCCTCCCCCTCCTCCGGGGTGGAAACCTGGAGACCCCCTCCCAACTCTTCCCACCGCTGCCGCTTTTCCATCTGCTGCTGCGGCCACTCCTGCTGCTCCTTCTGCTGCTGCTGGCGCTGCTGCTGCTGCTCCTACTCCATCCATTCCCCCAGCCGTACCCATGCCCGCCCTTCCCACCATGCCTGCAGGTTGGAAACCGGGGGATCCCATACCCCTCCCCTTACCAGGCGCCGCTCCCGTGCCCCTGCCAGTGGCAGCAGGTGTACCTCCCTCAGATGTACCTCCCCCGAGCGTGCCTGCCGCCGCTGCTGTTGCTGTGGCTGGCATGGTGGTGGGACCTGGGGAAGGTGTTATCCGGCCCGCAGCTGTGGCAGGGGCAGGGAAAGAAGCGGCAGCAGGAAAGGAAAGAGCAGCAGGGGCAGGTGTGCGTGGTGGTGGTGGTGCTGCTGCTGTGGCCTTACCCCCTGCTCCTGCTGCTCCTGCTGCTCCTGGGACGTTTCAAGTGGCACACGTTCAGGTACGAGTCAGATTCAGCCTTGGGTTGGGTCGTCTGTGTAAGTGCCCTCTGTGTTAGTGTCATGTGTCCTTGCACTGCTGCTGTAGCCTTGCCCCCTGCTCCCGCTGCTCCTGCTTCTCCGAGGACGTTTCAAGTGGCACACGTGCAGGTACGAGCCAGATTCAGCCTTGGGTTGGGTCCTCTGTGCTAGTGCCCTCTGTGCTGGTGCCCTCTGTGCTAGTGTCATGTGTCCGTGGAGTGCTGCTGTGGCCTTGCCCCCTGCTCCTGCTGCTCCTGCTGCTCCTGCTGCTCCTGCTGCTCCCGCTGCTCCTGCTGCTCCCGCTGCTCCTGCTGCTCCTGCTGCTCCTGGGACGTTTCAAGTGGCACACGTGCAGGTACGAATGAGATTCTCAGATTCAGGCCTGGCTTGGGTCCTCTGTGTTAGTGTCCTGTTTTTGGTGCTGTTGCCACTGCAGCCTGCTGTAGCAGTGGCTGTGCCTCTTCCTCCTGCTGCCCCTGCTGCTCTTGGGACAATTGAAGTGGCACACGTACAGGTACGAGCCAGATTCTTCTTCAAGCCTACTGTTAGCGAGTCAATCACAAGGAGCAACCAACGACTTCAGCCGTGGCCTATGGCTGAACAGGCTCTCCTTTGTGATTGGGTCTAGCCATTCAATGCACACCCTATCATTCCTTCTAGCCATGCCTCCGCTCACCCTCCCGTTGTCCTCTTCTTTCTTACCGTCTCCCGTGCTCCTCTCCCTGGGTCGTATGTACATCTTGATTTAGATGAGTCTGGTTTTGATATTTTTTTTTTCTTCCTCCCCACACACACCCCCCCTCTCCCGCCCCGTCACCCCCCCAACAGCTTGATTTGGACGAGTCTGATTTTGAAAGTGATTTTAGCGATGCGTCTTCAGACGACGATGACGAATGACAGTTTAGTGCGGTGTGATACACTGTCATACTGCTCCGTAACTACGGTACACTACACGCATTTGGACGAGTCTGACTTTGAAAGCGATTCAAGTGATGATAAGTGAGTTTCTAAGGTCGTGCTATTCATGTAATTACTTCTACATGCGAAATGCATAGGTGAATCTTGGTTTTAGTACCGTATGAGGAGGAGCTGTTCGAGTAGGTGATTGGCTTCTTGTTTGTGTCGCCGTTTAGGTACGGTACTGTAAGGATTTACAAATCCTGATTGAGGCACTCGTTAGCGAGGCCATCCCGAGGGTCACGCGACGAACCTGTTGGCCTATTTCGTCGCACCGAACCACCCCCGAGTCGGCCTCTGCTCCAATCGCAACATCACCGAGCCATCCATTCCCGACCTCCTCGCCTAGCTAGCTTTTCCCCTATTTAGGCCTCATCACTTTCATTGTATCGAGATTGAGTAATCAATCATTCTCGTTATTCATTATTCTGCGCACTCTACATTACAACTCATAACACCTGGTATCAGAGTGTTAGAATAAGCAGGCAGGAATGAATGAACTATGAATGAGTTGGGTACAAGTACTAACCCTAAGGGTGCATTCCGCTCTGGACATGTCCCAATCGTACATGTCCCAATCGATTCCACCGCACTGCATCTTATTACACCGAATTACACCCTAGTTTCAAACATTGTCAAAATTTTCGCGTCTCTGGTTTAGTTCGGTTCGGAGCGGTGGAATCGATTGGGACATGTACGATTGGGACATGTCCAGAGCGGAATGTACCCTTAAGTGTTGTACCCCTTGTAGGCTAACCCACTATAGCCTAGGAAGAACACAAACATACAGTTTGACACACCCCCATAGGCTAAGTGGGAGAGAGCAAACACAACACACGGTCACAAGACCAGTCAAGCAAGAGAACAAAGCAAAGGAAAGCTCAGGGTGGATCTCAAGATCACCACGCATTCTGAGCACAAGCAAGTGGCCACAAGGCCAGTTAACATGCAGAGTTATAATAGTAAGGCAGTACACTGATCACAACCTAGCAAGAGTAAACAAGCAGATATGAAGATATATATATCAGTGTACAACAAGAGCAAGTCAAGCAACCAGCAGGTGAGGCAGAGTGGGCACAAGCCCAAGAGCAGTGCAGAAACGCTGATGATCACCAGACCCAAGGGCCATGGTGAAGACATCAGCAGTGTTGGCCCGAGAGGCCACGTAAGAAAGGCGCAGCTGACCACGCTGCTGCAGCTCACGCGCAAGGAAGTAGCAAAGAGCAATGTGCTTCGTTCTGTGCTCCAGTCTCTGCTCGCGACACAAGGCAAGCATTGCCTTGTTGTCGACATACAGAACTGGAGGAGAACGAGGCCGCTCCCCCAAGTCTGTCAGCAGGTAGGTCAGCCAGCGTAGCTCCTGTGCAGCCATGGCCCCAGCGCGGATCTCGGCCTCACAGCTGGAACCAAGCACAGAAGAAAAACGAGTGCACCTCCACGAGACAAAACCAGCGCCAAGACTGAAGGTGTAACCCTGTGACGAACGCTGAGTCGCCTGGTCATCGGCCCAAGAAGCGTCAGAGTGTCCTGTGAGTACCACTGAACTCCGTCCTCCAAGCACGAGCCCCATGCCCGATGTACTGCACAAGTAACGCAGTACCCTCTTCGCAGCATCAAAGTGCACCTTTCGATGTCTACCGGGTGCCACGTAGCAAGCCAGGAGGCTGAGAGGGTACGCGAATTCAGGTCGTGTGCACGTCATCAGGTACATGAGGCAACCCACAAGCTCTGGGTACGGACCACTCGGCTCTACGGACTCGTCCGAAGGTGGAGCTGAGAGCGAGTGGCCGATAGACAGAGGAGTGGGCTGTGGCGAGGACCACGTGAAGCCGAAGCGCTGAAGGACCTGGTGCACCATGTGTGACTGCGTCAGGGTGATGGTGCGCCGTGGTCTGTCCCGGGTGATCTGCAAGCCAAGATAGCTCCGCAGCTCACCCAGGTCAGTGCAGGTGTGTCTCTCCTGCAGCTCCGCCTTCACTAGGGCCAGTGCCTCAGTGTCAGCAGTAGCAAAAACCAAGTCGTCGACGTACACGAGGATGTAGAACGCTGGCAGAGTAGTGTCGGTGCGTAGAAACAGCGACGGGTCAGCAGTCGAAGGAGCAAACCCAAGAGCCGCAAGTGTCGTCCTCAGTGTGTCGTGCCACTCGGGGGGCGCCTGACGCAGGCCGTACACTGGTCGCCGTAGGCTCCACTGGGTACCCTCAGGAAACGACCCAGTGAAGCCCTCTGGACGGCGCAACCAGATGGCCTCGTGAATGCTACCCTGCACGAAAGCTGTCGAGAAGTCGAGGGAGTGCAGCTCGTAGTCACGCTGAGCTGCAACGTGTAGCAACACCCGAAGAGTGGTCATCTTCGGGGTGGAAGAGAAGGTCTGTAAGAAGTCGACCCCCTGTCGCTGACTGAAGCCTCGAGCAACGTAACGCGCCTTGAAGGCAGGCGGAGAACCCGGCGGCCGCTTCACTCTGAAAATCCACATGCCACTGACGATGTTCGCCCCAGGTGGGGGAACCTCGTCGACATAGGTGCCTGTGGACTTCCAGGAAGCCATCTCTGCGTCCATGGCTGTCTGCCATTGAGAGGAGTACTCACCCGAAATCGCCTCTCTGTAAGAGCGCGGGGTGGGGATGTCAAGTGCATCCGGGTCTCCCTCAGGGGCAAGCAGCATGGTAGCGAGAAGGGGTGCATCGGCCGCAAGGCACTCCAGCTCCTCCTGTCTGTCCTCAAGAACGTCACAGCCAAGGGCAGTCTCACCCCCGACGGACGGAGGACAGGCAGGGACAGGGTCAGAAACAAGACTCGCAAGGTAGTCTAGGCGGTACACAGCAGCAAAGTCAATGAGCTCAGCGACTAAGGCAGACGCAGCAGGAGACGAGAACGAAGGGTCAGTCACCACCGTAGCAAGAAAGTGAGTAACAGTCGGACTGGACGCACGAGCAAGGTCAGACGGAGGGTCAGCAACGTCAGGAAGAGAGGACGCAGGAGGTAACGGCAGGACAACACGCTGTGGAACAGAGGAAGGACGGAGTGTCATATCGTGAGTGCCTGGGACAGCCGGAGCACGCTGACGACGGACACGAGGAACACGAGCACGGACAGCAGCTCTAGGCTCGGGCTCAAGGTCAAAGCTGGACTCAGGCTCTCGACGCTCAGGGGTGGAAGCACGAGTCTCAGGCTCTCGACGCTCAGTCAGGGATTGTGTCACCGCAGTGTAGGGAGCAGGAGCAGGCAGTGGGGAGTGCGGTAGCAGCTGCGGCTGTGACTGGTCTGCCGGTGGAAACAATAACGGAGGAGTAGTACCTGCCACAGGGAAGCCAGTAGCACCTCGCGGAAGACTGAGAAGGTGGCGAAGAGCACCAGCAGCTCCCGTACCTCCAGCACGAGCAGCTTCACCAGTACTCCCAGCAGCACCTCCAGCACCAGCAGCACCACGAGCTCCGGCAGCGCCAGCACCTCTAGCACCAGCAGTACCTCCAGCACCTCCAGTGCCAGCAGCTCCAGTAGCACCTCCAGCACCTCCATCACCAGTAGTACCACCTGCTCCGGCAGCTCCAGCACCTCTAGTACGAGCACCTCCAGGACCAGCCGCTCCAGCACCTCCAGTACCTCCAGCTCCAGCTCCAGCGCCTCCAGCACCAGCAGTACCTCCAGCACCTCCAGTGCCAGAAGCTCCAGTAGCACCTCCAGCACCTCCAGCACCAGCAGCACCACCTGCTCCGGCAGCTCCAGCACCTCTAGTACGAGCACCTCCAGGACCAGCAGCTCCAGCACCTCCAGTACCTCCAGCTCCAGAGCCTCCAGCACCAGCAGCAACAGCACCTCCAGGGTCAGTAGCTCCAGTAGCACCTCCAACACGAGCAGCACCACCAGCTCCGGCAGCTCCAGTACCTCTAGTACGAGCACCTCCAGGACCAGCAGCTCTCGCAGCTCCA